CACCCTCCTCAGGTCAGGCACGTGAACGTGAAGGTAAGTTAGGACTAGTTTGGAGGAGGGACTGTCTTTCTAAAATACTTTGTCCTACCCTGATTCCCCTTCCAGGCAAGAGTTTGAGAATACCGTCGTCCTGCCCCACTATTGTCTTAGGACGAATTTTAGCTGAATCATGCTGGCTGGCTAGGCACAATGGAAATATTACCACTAAAGCTGTCAAAGTTTAGAGGTGAGGCACGGAGAAACAAAAATGGAAGGAGGGAAGCATATCCCATCTGCTACCTACCTAAGGCCTGCCTGCAGGTCCTTCTTCTGCCTTTTGACCTTTCACTCACCTTGATCAACAGAATGGGTTGTCTGGATACCAATGAGAGGTACTTTTTCAGTGTAATAATAATTCCTAATGTTTAGAGGACAATCCTTCCAAAACTGCAAGCAGAGCTATGACACTAAGACGTCGCCAAAAGATCTTGTTACCAAAAGCAAAACCAATGAAACAACATCTGTCTCTTCCAGAGCATTCAATTCCCAATTCAATTCCATTTACGCCATCCTTAGAGTGGCGGACCCACAGGGCACTTTTCATCTAATAGTGTTTCTATGGAAACGCCATTCTCAACCTGGAAGATTCTACAACCCCTCACTTTGGCTTTATCCACATTGAGAGGGAAGTCTTATAAATCAGAAATTGAGACATAAATTTTGCCACAGACAAAAAAAAAAATATTTTCCAGGATAGAAGTTCACAATAAGAAACAAACAAAACAAAACCAAAGAGTAAAATATGTGTATCTGACATAGAAATAAAGTGTCTCTATTAAGTACCCAATGAGACCCCAAAGATCAGTGAAAAGAATCCAAGAGAATATGAATGAAAATCAATTCACCTTGAGGGTCACCTCCCCAAGTGGTCAATGCCAGATGTGTCACCCCTTGCATGGTTTCTTCACCTGAACCCGCAGGTGTGTATTTTAACAGCCTGCATTCTTCCTAACTTTCAAGACTCCTGGGACACACAGCAGCTCCATGCAGGAAAATATGTCACTGCATATTTAAATAAGAACCATATTAACTGCTTTTCTATTTAGATTATATTTAAACCTGCAATATGCAATAGGGTAAATGTGCAATAGAATAGGAAAACCAAACAAAACAGAAAACCCTTGATTTTTACCTTAAACATTGTATTTATCCCTTCTTCTCATTTTCACTAGGCCCTTGGGCGTATAGCTTTGTAACACTATGTAGCAAAAGAACTGGCAATACGCAAAACACATCCAGTTTAAACATTAGGACATAGTAGGTTATAGTTATAGTTGGAATAACGCCTTTAAGAAGGAAAAAGAAACCTTCATGGAGTGTATGCCCCCGAACTGCCTGACTATACAGTGACTCATACTCAAATATTAGGGATTTTTTAATTGTTTGCAGTAATTTATCTTCAGGCAAATGCAAGCATTTCTATTAATAAATGCTTTTGTTTTCTTTCTAATTCTCTCTCACTATCTAAATAATGTCAGTCATTCTTTTCAATTCCAGGGAATAGTTTCTTTTAAGAGAACTTCTCTAGTTATCAAACCCTGGCAAATGTTCAACTAAGACTGAGGTGGAAATTTTCATCACTGAAATTTCCTTTTACTCCATAATCAGCAAAGTTTAAAATCTGTTTCCTTTTTCTTTTATTATTTTCATCATATACAAGTATTTCCAGTTTAGCTCACTAGAGATTGTGAGTCCAAAAATGACGCTTTAGTTCTCTCCTTGGAGTAGTAAAATGTGCTACTGATTAAATCTACCTGTGGCCAACCATAGAACAGCACATTTTTCTGATGCTGGGGTGCAAATCCAGAAAGTTTTGTTTTGTTTTGTTTTGTTTTCCAGGGCCTATTCTATTCCTCCAACACATAAATGCTTGAAAGCCCTTTCAAAGGCAGGTTTTTGTTGTTGTTGCTACTTTAACTGAATAAATCCAATGTAAAGATTGACCCATTTATTTGAAAGAGAAAAAAAGAGTAGGAATTTGCTTTCAAAAAGGTATGTGAGCTTTCATAATATGCCATTTGGCATTTAAAAGATTAGTTTGTTCAATTTGCTAATAAATTGTTATTGCTATTGTTTTAATTAGCCAGAGTTTCAGTCGCTCTTTTGTATCTTGCAGGATTTCAGACAGGATTTTCTAGAGAAGTTACATTAATCATATAGCAAGAATGTGATCATTTAAAAATCTGTAGCAACTTCCAAATGAATTGCGCATCCCAAGAACTCTCAGAACTTGAAATAAAGTTGCTAAAAGATTAGTACAGAGCTATCACTACTTACTTACATTTGAACAAATAACAAAACTTTCCTTAAACTCTAGAGGTTTTTCCCCGTAGAATTTATTATTATCAGCTCCTGACTATAAACAATTACCTAAGCAGTTTGTGCATTCCTTCAAGAAGTATAACAAGACAAGGGGAAGGGTGTTCCTGATAACTGGAGATCCTGCTGGTCCTGCAATTAGAGAAGAGGGAAGGGAATGGCTTTCACGGGGGGTAGGAAAGAGGGAGAATATTTAAATATATCTCCTTTGTTTTTTAGATGACATTATGAGACATTTGCTTTTTGAGGATGGTCACCATTATCGATATTTTTGTATGAGCACATGGGAGGGGAGTGTGGAAGCAGGTGGGCATGCCCAACGCGAACCACAAGGCAATTTCTGTGAGCCTTCATAGAGATGTGGACGAATGGGTTTCCCCTTCCAGGGTGGTGGTCAGGCCAGTACAGACCCCCAGACTGAAAGAAATTAGCCCAACCTCAAGAAATCTGGCAGCTTAGGCATAATTTCTAATCCAATTGCCCCAATAACATATGGACCACAAAAAGCACCGCAATGCAGGTAAGATCTTGCTGGCTGCTAAAGACGTTTTCTGTTTTGTTTTAAGAAGATAACGTAGCTCTCTGCAAGGTTCTTCCCAAGGGTATGACCTAGAAAACCAGGAAATCTGGTGGATGAATAAAAGAACTTGCTTCTCTCTCTCCCGATTCTCTCTGAACCAATATTTGATTATATTTTATTCAGGGGCATCTCAGCTTCAAGGAAAGCCAAAGCTCCTCTGTAGACTGAGATGGAGGCTGACGAAATCCATTCTTCTTCTTCTTCTTTTTTTTTTTTTTCTATTAGTACAGGAAATAGACTCAGGTTGTAACTTCCAGGGCCACCTGATTTTGTCCCCTCCCACCCTCATCCTCCAGATCAGGTTGGCTGGTTAGCCTGGGTGACGAAATATCAGCACAGCTGCATCAGCACCTCTGACCGACTGTCTCTTCTTCTCTCCTGCTATTTATTCTTCCTCCTGTGCCCTCCGTGCCCTCCGGACCCTCGCCCTTCCTTCCCCCTACCCCTTCAGTCGAGGTTGGTAATCCTCAGCAGCAACCTTACACCTTGCACGAGGCAGATCTCAAACTATCCACATCTATGTAACAAGTGTCAGGTAAGTAATGGCACCCGAATTGGGTTTTAGGTAAACCTAATGTGATGTTAAAATCAGCTACGCCATCTCAAGCTTCAGCTAACTATTAACCAGCATTAACCAACCTCCGAAGCTGATTCCAGAACTGTCAGTGGAGGCTAGTGGCTGTGTGGAACCACAATGGCTGGAAGGGAGAGAGGAAACTATTTTTTTTTTTTTAAGTTACTCCTGCTGCTCTCGGTTTTTATTTTACTCACAGAGGCCGGAAAACCTGGATTAATTTATACCCTCGAGTGTTACTGGAGGCACAGCCTCTATCCAGAGGAGCAGACCCAGCGTGGCCTTCGACAGCCCCTGTGTGTCTCCCTGTAACAGTACAAGTCACCGAAGAACATAGCTCTGAAAGTGGGCAAAGGCGTGAGGGTCAACAGACCTGGGTACATCGGGGACAACGCAGAATTAACCTCGATATGTACCAATAAATGACTTTCAAAAAAAGCAAACTAGGCTAAAAATGGTAACATAAAGAGTTTGCTTCTGACATTTTCCAAAAAGCCAAGATTTTTGGTATTCATACATTTTAGGCTAGGCTAGGCGAGGCGAGGCGAGGCTACAACCTATTTAAATTCAACCTTTGCCCCTAATAGTGAAAGTCCCCCTTGCGAAGAATTTTGCTGATTTTTAAAATATTATTTTATCCATAAATTTTCATTTGGTCTTCTTCCCTGGATGTCATTAAATCAGTATGCACTTACAAAAATATCCACCAAAATATTATGATTATAAATATTTTGAACATGAAATTCATTCAGAACAATAACCAAACAAAACAAATCCCTTGGTGGCATAAAGCCCCCAATCTCCAGTTTCTCACATCTCCAGGAGAATTCCTGCAGTGAAAACAGCAATACTCACACAGACAATATAAACTGTTACTCTGCTTGAAAAGTCACAAGGGACTACACAGGAAGTGCCGACTCTATATTGCTGTTTTCCTTTACAGTTCTAAGTACAGGGACAACTTTCACTGTGCAGCCCTGACTCAGATGAATGTTTTGGAATGGCAACCAGGCCATTCAAACCACCTAAAAGCAAATTAATGTGAGCATCTTGCCATTGCAATAAGATTTAAACTTTTTTGGACCGTTCGCTACAAAGGTCCACTAAAGCGTTAGAAGAAATTAAGTCCTTCTCTCTGGGGTCTGGCTGACTTTCTTCTTAGTAGGAGTTGGTTCTAAGTACCTCAGAGTCACACTGAGAAAAGCAACATCATTAACATACATACTTAAAATTACAAGTCACATGAACTCCTAAACTTTATAACTTACAGTTAACAAAATTGCAATAGTGCACTTCAAATAAAACTCCTCATTTGGGGTAAGTATCTAGGAAATTAAGTGCTAACACCTTTGTAAAAACTAGGGGAACACAGTGATTTATGAAATATTCCAAGTGCAGAGGGGATCATTTTGCCCCCATTTGTTTTTTCTATCACAACTGGTTCACCGTCCATATTTAGTTTACATATGTCATTTAGAATCCACTTACTGTTAGATGCTGGAACAGCCACGCCCTCATGATATTTGTGGCTACTTTGGGAAAGATGCCACGCTTTTTGTGACGCTTTTTGTCCTTATCTGGATCATCATCGTCACCTGTGCTGGGGGAAGCTACACTGTTGTCCAAGCCATCACCTGCAAACATAGTGAATCAAATTTTGACTGATGCTACCTTGACATGCTTTATTCAAATAGAATGCCTTTGGATATAAACAAAACCAAAAGAGCAATATAAATGATTAATAGTTTATTTGGTACTTTTTTTTTTTCCAAGACAAAGAGAAAGAACAAGGCCTAAGCTCAAAAGTAGTCAGGTCTAAGGAACTTCTTCCAAAGAACAGTGGGAAAGGTCAAAGGGAATGAAGGGAAATAGCCAATCTCTTCAGTAGCTTTCTTTGTTGCCATGGTAATGATTCAGATGTGTATAGCTGAGACGTGGTAAGTGTAACTCCTACTGGGGAGTTAAATATGGTGGTGGCCATGGGCAGAGGTGCTGTCCCTGCCTGGGTATTCAAACCCCACATATCGTCGTTGATGTCAACTTGTGAGAAGATGCATTTAAGATATCAACTATTTCCACAAGTGATCTATCTTAAGACTAAAGTAGGCCACGGAGATGTAAGTAATCCATCATCTAAGCGATTTGACATAGGAATGCTTCAAATAGAATATAATTCTTCTTGTCATAAAAAGAGAGCATCAAGTTTACTAAGGGCAAAACTCCTGAAATAGTTTTTTAATTAGGAAACAATTACTGTGTAAGTCAAATAAAGTGATGTTAAACGAATAGTCAATTGGAATTGTATTACCCTAAAAATCCAGGCAGTTTCTAAAATTTCTTCTAGATTTAAATCTTTCTCATTTGAAAAGTCACCTATTTACAAATTCCTGAATATTGGATCCTAGTCTTCCATTGATTTGTGTTATAACATTTATGTTGTTTCTTCTAGAAAATATTCTGGCTCTGTGACACAATAAAACAAAAAATGTAGTATTCCTTTTACAGTGCCATGTTTAATAAGACAAAAAATGAAATTTCAGCCCATATAACCACACTGTCCAAAACAAGTCATAAGGTACAAATGGAAACTAAGTATCTTGTGTTCGGCACAAAACTTCAGAGGGAAAACAAGCCTGGACTAAAACCACTACACTAAAAAGCAGCTTGGCTTCTGTCAAACGTGCCTCCGAGTAAGGTACCGACTTTGAGAAAGGGATAGGTGGATCTGGCCCAGGAAGAAGAGCTACAGCAGCAAGGCTTTGCCATGAGGCAACACATACATCTAAGAGCACATTCCGTGGGTTATGCACTTCACTGGAGAGCCGTGGACATGCCCCAGGAATCGGGTACTTCGGTGAGACAAGTTTCCTAGCCACTGTACACTGGAACTAGCCTCATACTCAGTTACACCGCTTCGTGAACTTATTTCATATTCCTTATTTCTGCTACCTAAATACACTAGGTACAAATATACTTACTACCTTGATTTCAGTTATTTCAGTCTAATCGATAGTCATTATGTTGCCATTAATCAATTGTTCCTAACAGCTCCCTCAGGTGTCCCCTGCCCATCCCCCCCCAAAAGGAAATTGCCCCCACATTGCCTTAACTTGTACTGAGGTAAAGTTTAAAAACTGTTGCGTGAGGAACAGACTAAATATCAACATTTCTGCTATGATTACAGCGTATGCCACAAACACAAAACTTCTGCAGAACTTTTCTGAGTGTGATTTTTCTTAATTTAAAAATCCATCATTTTATTGTATTTAAAAATCCATCTATTCTGTTAAAGTTCCACAGGATCATAGCTGTGCTCTCAGTGGAAAAGATCGTAAAGACCCACAGTCCCAGAGCCCTCGCTGTAGCAGCAGCGAAGAAAGTGCTTGGGTGACTTGCCCAAGGTCATACAGCAGGGATGGGGCTTGCTGGACCAGACACCAGCATCCCTAAATCAGTGCTCCTTCCACCCCCACCAAACTCGTTGCATAACCAAGTGTTTTATAAGGAGTCCCCTTGGATTTGCCTAATAAATTCCTTGAAAGTCCACTATTTAAAGAGGCTTTTTATTCAGAGAAGCAATTCACCATATAAAATAACAATTCATTAAAGAAACATGAGAAAAGAAACCAACTCAACAGCATTTAAAATTTCAATGGGCTAATCCACTTTCAATATGCAAAAGGTAACCAAGGAAAAGAAACATATGACTTGATCACTGATTAAAAATGAAAAGCTTCTAACCTAATGACAGTTTTTCACCACCTCTCCATGATTGTTTTCCACCTTAAAAAAAAATAGCCTTTCCATCCGTCTCAAAACCCCTTCAGATTAATTTAGCAGGCAATGCCTAGTGCCTGCCTCGAAGAGAAGTCATTGATAATTTATGGAAATATCTACTATAATCCAGCGGAGATGACTTTTTTCCAGCTTTGTGCATCAATAGATAATCAAGGCCTTAAAGCAGCCTTAGCTTCCCATTACCTCAGGCAAAAGAGTTCCTGAAAGCATGCCTTGAGGGCACCTGAATTATATACTCCATTAGGAGAGGAAGGCTTTCTGCATTCCATGTGTAACACTCACCAGAACCTTTCCTGTTTATTTCTGCTGTATGAAAGCAGGAGCATTAGGAACAGAATTTTTTAAGTGAAGACTTATGTAGACACAATGGAGAACCCTTTCAAGCAGGAGCCAGATCACCCCCTTCAGTCCCTGGCAGTGACCTCTCCCGAATAAAAGGTTTCTATTACATCATTAGCTCAAGCCAAAAACAGCCTTGGCTTAATGCACAGTTTGTTCTTCCTACTGTTTTTAGGCAAATACAGCTACTTTACTCCCATCTGGGAGGGAAATTACACTGCTGGGTTGTAATCTAAGACAAGATTTTCATTGGAAGCAAATGCTTTCAATCCAGTGTAAATACTGGTGCATGTTCAGAAAAGCCTAAAACAATAAACCCTGCTCCTTCCTGACACAAGTTAGGGAAATGGAGAAGATGGGGAAGGAGAGGAGCATAATAAAACAGACGATTCTAAAAGCAAACACTTTCATAGATTTTAATAAATTGTTTAACCTCTTCCACTTTCTAGAATTGAAAATTGATCTCGAAACGTCTCAACCTCAGAGGAAAGTCTAAATGGTCAATTGTACCTTGAGCATTTCCATTCACTCTGCAATTTGATACAGTCACCTCGATGCGGTCTCTGGAGGATTTATTTCCTTTTTTTATTTTTAAGATCACTAAACAAACTTGCAGAACCGCCGGCCGACCACATGGCAGCACGCAGCAGCTCTGAACCCCATTTGTAAAATGTCAGCAGTGACTTCATTCCTGGAGCTGACTTCTCCTGCCGCCAAATGAAGGCAAACTGAAAAGGTGGAAATAATCATAAAAATGATGCTAGTCCATAAACAAGCTTACAGCCTCATTAGGATAGCAGTAGGCTCCAGTGGGTGATTTATGCTCGTTTTGCTGATGCTATGAGGAAATGCCATAGGGCGACTTTAGCCAATTGCTAATGGTTTCTGACAGCTTCTTAGCAACTAGTGCAAGCAACGTTGTGGCGTTTGCTAGTGACAGAAACCGAAAATGTCATATTATCTGCCCATGTGTCATGAAGTCCGTGTGGCAATTAACTAGCAGGCCAGTGACTGAGGGGCCAGAGGCTCGCGAAAATGGCCTTTGGCTATGCAGAGGCAGCCGATGGGCCAGAGCACACACTGCCTACACATATGCAACATTCTAATGCAGAAATCCACTTCCTTGTGACTCCCCAGCTCTGATGAGACCGAGCCACTCAAATCTCTTTTTCCCCCCCTCACTCAAGTGAAACTCTGCCCCCGACCCCCACCCCACACTGGGCATTGGCTCTGGCCTTATGAGAAGCCTCTGAAGCAATCTGCTTTGATATGATTATCCGAATGGCTCCTTAATTGGCAATACCTGGTTCTGTGCTTTTTGGATGCTGGATTCAAAGGTGCTAGCCATTTTTCTGCTCTCTCACGAATTAGTCTAAAAGGATTGAAGCTCACTGAAGCGGACTCATTGCCTGTCAGATTGCGAGGGGCAGAGGGACTCAGCAGCAACAAGACACTCCATGAAAAACACCAGGCTTCTAACGAGCAGGGGAGAATCCTGGCCACACTTTCCAGTTTCCGAGCTATCAAAACCATGCACTATATGTCAAACTGTCAAACCTTTCAGCGTGGGCCATTTGCCCTTTCAAATAATATTTAAGAATTGTTTTTACAAAATTTTATAGGCCATGGTCTAGTGAAAGAGGCCAACCAACAAAGAAAGGAATTTGTACTACAATTCGTCTACGGACAATTTCTTGTGAGACCTGGTCTGTCCCTGCGGAGCAAGGCAGGTGACCTGTGGCAGCTCCCAGGCTGTCAGAGAGCTCAGATTTCAAACACGCTCAACTCAAACATCCCGAGTCGCCTATTTAAGCATGCCCAGGCATTTAGACTGTGCTATCTCGTGCCTTTCAAGGCAGAATAAAGCGGCATTTACCATATTCAGACCATTCAATGGGTCAGACTGACCGTGTCAGCAGGGGCTCCTCTCTGGCAGGTCAAAGCCCTGCTCCCATTTTTCTCTTCCTCCTAATGCCCTCGCCCTACCCCGCCCCCCAGGACTGCCCATCCCCAAAACCTATTCTGAGCCAGGCAAAAACCCCCAAAAGTGCCCAAGATTTACAACACAACAGAGAGGAACTTCCAGTGTCAGTGGGTCAGCAGGTATAAATAAAAATGGGTTGTCTGTCAGAGGGTTCTTTCTTTTCTGAAGGCAAAACTCCTAATTAGGGATCTGAACTTTCAATTGTGCGGGGGCAAATGAAGGTGTAAGGCTGTGGACCTTCTTGTTTTGCTAGAAGCCGAGCTGCAAGGCACCCCAGCTTCACGACAATTCATTTACAACTTTGCATCGAGACTCCATAGTTTCTGGCCAGGTTCTGCCCTTCACTTTTGCTTTATGCATCTTCAGGTGTTTGGAAACAGAATGTTTGTCCCAGAAATGTACGTAGACTGAAAACCAAGGCCATCTGTAATCGCATCCGCATCTTTCAATACGGAGTCAATGCTAGCATGTCTTGAAAGGTGTCGAAATTAAGTCTGTACAGCTCGTGTTGTA